TACTGGGTTTAACAGTTATTTTAAAGACACAGTGCCAGTGAAACAGAAAAGCACAAACTCTAACCACACTGACACCTGCCTGCTTTTAAGGTTAACACAAATTAGAAACATTTAAATGACAGTTTGTCATTTAAGGTACCTGTACAGAAAGCAGCTGGGTTTCAGAAGTGGGTTCAGTTCCAGTCCCCTCTTCCTGGTCTCCGTCAGAGGGTGAAGCTTCAGTCTCAGGATTTTTCCTGTGCCGCTCCTGCAGCTCCATTAAGACCCTGTTGACTGCACACACGGCTGCCTCTCGGCAGAGCGCCATCAGGTCAGCACCAACGAAGCCCGGCGTGAGGTGTGCTAAGTGACGAAAATGAAAAGTTTCGGGAAGTCTTAGTTTTCTGCACAAAGTTTGAAGTATTCTGTGGAAAAGACAAGGAAAAGAAATTGAGATTCCTCATGTACTAGTAAAAATAAGTCACCAAATATATTTATGGGGATGCCCCTGGTGGTTCAGAAGTTAAAATCTGCCTTGCAATGCAAGGGACATGGATTTGATCCCTGGTCGGGGAACTAACATCGCACATACCACGGAGCAACCAAGTCTCCACACCATGACTACTGGGCCCCCCGCCACAACTAGAGTCCATCCACCAAAACAATAAAGATGTTGTGTGACACAATGAAGATACCGAGCACTGCAACTAAGATTCGACACAGCCAAATAGTAAAGCCATATACACTTATGGAAGTCCTTCTTCTCTGTCAGTGGTATTATAGCAGACACAATTTAAGCTCAAACAGTTCACTTATTCAACAAATGCTAACTCTCTAATATATACCCCACCTTATTCTATTAGGGATTAAGGTATAAATATCTGTTGTATTAGAAAATAGAATAAAAAAATAGGTTTTTAAAAAATATTCTGCCTTTAAGAGTTTGACAGTATTACAGAAGAAATAAGATAAATGATTTATAAGAATATAAGGTTAATTCTTTTAGAGTAAATTAAATGGACATCTGCCAGAAATAAAAAAGCCTCTAAACTCAAACCATTAGCTTTATTCATCACGAAAAGTTATGTTGATACAAACTTTAATACCCAATCCTATATTAGGACAGTTATTTCTCCAACTTCATCTTTATTTACTGCTGATCCCCTGTATTGCATGTGTGAGAAACTCTGCTCAGCTCAACTGGCAATATGGTATGTGGCAATGAAATGTGGACTTCTGGATAATTATTATCACTAAGAGAATACTTAAAATAATTTCTTGCAACAGTGAATAAAAGTTAAAAATAATAAAGATATTCTGGACAAAAGGTCTGATACCAGACCACTTCAGTCTGAATGTCAGCTCTGCCACTCTGTGTTACTTCATTTCTGTGATTTAGTTTTCTCATCTGTTAAATATATAACAGCACTTAATCATAGGGATGTTAGGCAAATATATGCAAAGGTGCCAGAACACTGGCTGATGCATAGTAAGTTCCCAATAAATGTTCATTATTATTATTTAGATATTGTAATATTATATATTAACCTGGACAAAATAATATGTTGTGAAATTTCCAAACTTGTAAGAGAAACTAATAGTTTAAAATGTCAAGCTACTGGACAGTAAGTTACAGAAACATCCTTTGGGATCATGTAAGTGAACAAAACAGAAGCAGATGAACATCACCGACAAACGAAAATTGTCGCTTAGATACTGTAAATAGTAGGAGTGAAGAAAAAGTTCCATTATAGAACTACTTCCTGGGGTTCCCTGGTGGCTCGGTGGTAAAGACTCTGATTGCCAGTGCAGGAGACACAGGTTGGATTCCTGACCTGGGAAGATTCCGCATGCTGTGGGCCAACCAAGCCCATGTGCCACAGACACTATGCCTGTGCTCCAGGGCCCAGGAGCTGCAATCACTCAGCCCAGGTGCTGCAACTACTGAAGCCCGCAACCTAGAGCCCCTGCTCCACAACAGAAAATCCACAGCAATGAGAAGTCTGCATGCCACAAGTAGAGAAAAGCCTGAGCAGCAACGAAGACCAGCACAGCCAAAAATAAATTAAAAAAATAAAAAGAACTACTTCCTCAAAATACAGATCTAATTTGCTACTACGCGTAAGAATACTAAGAAACTTAGAATGTTAAAGAAAAAACGGCTAACATAAAATAAATATCATCATTTTTTCAGTAATAGTCTACTAAAAAAATGTAGTTTTGGTCATCATACTATGCAAAATCCTCAGATGGTAAAGAACCCACCTGCAGGAGACCAGGGTTCAATCCCTGGGTTGGGAAGATCCCCCAGAGAAGGGAATGGCAATCCAACTCCAGTATTCTTGCCTGTACAATCCCCACTGACAGAGGAGCCTCGGGGGCTATAGTCCATGGGTCACAAAGAGTTGGACACAACTGAGCGACTAACACTAACATGGAAACTTCAAAGGAGGAGAAAACTACCATTAAGAGATTTCCAGTTTTAAGACAACTGAGTAAAGCAGCTGGAGCGGAAAAAAAAAAAGAAGCTGGAGCGGATGGCCTGGACTCAGAAACTGAGGTCTACACTATCTACAGCAGATCAGCTAGCCCTGAAAGAAAAGTCCTGTAGCATCAGTTCCCCTATTCTGTATCGATTGATGGGTCACTCAGGTCAGTCCAGATTCAAGAGGAGGAGTCATGGACCCACCTCCCACTAAGAGAGGGCCGAGAATTTACAAACACATGCTTTAAAACTGTCACAATAATGAACCCCCATGTTTTTATCACTCAGTTTCAATAATTATCAACATTTTCAGAGTCTTATTTATCCCCCACTTTCCCCCCACCCCCAGAGTGTTTTAATGCAAATCCCAGGCATTATGTCATGTCAACTACAAATATGTCCATATCTAATGAATAAAGACTTTTTAAAGGAGATTAAAGGGACATACCAACTGCATAGCAGTTTTTAAAAAATGAAAGATTAAAAGAAAAATGGACATTTGGGGGCAACTGGGAAAATCAGAATAGATTGTACCAAGTAATATTATTATCAGTGTTAAGTTTCTTTACTGTGGAAAATGGTATAGTTACAAAGAAGGATTTACAGCTAAAGTATCATGATTTCTTCAACTATCCTTCATATGGGCTGGCAAAAAATAAAGATATATACACATATGCACACATATACACACAAGATGTTTCTACAAAGAGTGAAATTAAACATAGAAAAATGTTAACAAGTAGTAAATTCAGCTAAAGGACATACAGATATTCATTGTATTTATTGTATTATTCTTTCAACTTTTCTGTAGGCTTGAATATTTTCAAAATATGACTACCTAGGAAAGCCCTTTATGGACTTTGTTGATGATGGAATAGTGGATCAATGAACAATGTATTTTATCTAGTAGGATGGTGGGCTTTACTGTGTCTATGTCTCTATCATTAAGTTTGGCACTTAACCAAAAAAGGATTTGATAAAGGATACAGGTCTTATTTCTCTTTCTGTACTGTAAACATCCTAAAAACAAGGATTTAGAATTCTTTACATTCCTTACATTACCTATCCTAGTAGTATACATATACTATATGCTTAATACACGTTTCCTAAATAAATACAAACAACTTAACTTGAATAGCTGAGTAACCATTTAAAGATTATATTAATATATGTGAGAACACAATGAGCATACCTATAGATAACGCTGAATACAACAGCTGAAGAAGCAACTGCCAATCAATCAAAAGCTGAAGCCACATTAAATACTAGCAAGAAGGGATTTCTTCTTCCTAATGCTTTCTCCTGCCCACTGTGTCTTCTGATCAGTTTTATGTTCAGCATTCATGAAGTCTCCTGTTCATCTCTACCCTTCTTCCCTGTCCCCACGCCTATCCTTTCACTATATACTACTTTCCCTAAAAGCCGCTGGTGATGGTGTACAGCAATTTATTGTATTGTATTGTATTGTAACAATACAGCAATTCATTGTATTGTATGGTAACAATACAGCAATTGTTATTAACTTAAGCTGAAAGTCATTATAAATATGGTATTTCTGAACAGTTCTTTACTAGATCTCCCTTACTCCACTGCCTAAACACTGCCTCCCCAGATGTTTTTGTTATTGAGACGCTGCTGGTGGACACCTCTTTGTTCTATGGACGTTCAAACCCAATTACTAGGAAAGGGTGGTCTTACAGCAAACAGCTTTCAACTCTCTAGCTGCCACTTAATATCTGTCAAGGAACTTACGACTTTAGGCAGATTAGTGCAACAGGTTAAAATATGGCACTCAGACTTAACCTACATGTGGACCAGTGAGCACTAGTCCATAGCTGTAATCACTCTCCCTAGGCTGACTGCCACATAAAAAACACAAGACACTGTTAATAAGACAGACAAATGAATGTGGATACATAAATCCATTATCACTACCAAAAAAGCAGCCTGAAATAACTGCCATATTAGTGAGTCAATTGTTTTCTTAAGCATTAATTGAATGTGGGCTTTTTCCTTTCCAAATCAATTTCACTGGCATGTAAAGAAAGAGACAAGAGAGAAAGAAGGCTGCATGGTATTTTTCACCCCTCATTTTCAAAGCATGCAGTTCAGATGACATAGTGGCATACAAACTTCATTCTCTAAGAGTATACCTTTCTCTGGAGGCTTCATCTGGGATACCCAGGCATATTTCTCGGTCGAACCTTCCTGCACGTCTCAAAGCAGGGTCTAAGGAGTCTGGTCGGTTGGTAGCTCCAATGACTAGGACCCGAGCTGTAGCGGCCACATTATTCAGATCTAGTAAGAACCAGACAGAGCACGAATGGTAAACAAGACACCTGACATTAAGGATAATAATGTTATCCAAGTTATTAAGTGGTTAGACAGAAAGTATTAGACAATGACAATTAAATATTATATATATGAATATAAAACTAACATTTATTAAATGTCTAATACATGAAAGATATGAGGAAAATACAAACCTTGTCCTCAAGCAGCTCAATCTATTTGAAGTACAGTGAGTATAAACAGAGCACTGCAGTAATACAATGGAAGATATTATGAACTCAGACTGAGGAATCAGGGAGAACTTAGGGAGCAGGCAACATTCCAGAAAGGCTTAAAGGGTGAATAGGCTATTTTTAAGCAGATATAGGCGAATGAAATTCTACACGGAAGAAAGAGAATGACTGAAAGCACAGAGGTACAAACAGGTATGCCAAGTTTAGACAGGGTGAGTGGCCCACCATCAGGAAGTCTGGGCAAGACACAGTAGTATGTGTCTCAAACACACTCACGGCACTGAGATGGGGGAATACAATACAGTCTCCAGTTGCTCTGGCTTAATCTAGATACAGATTTTTATTAATGAATGGAACACAGGGCCTAAAGCGTGTCTTTCACAAGTATTATTTCTCACAACTGAACCAGAGTGGACTAACGGAGAGACTGAGGTTTACATACCAACCCTGCGCCCCCACAACACGCAGGTAATGGCTAACGAGGTCCTCTAACAGTCAAGTCACGGGAAGTTCACAGGACATTCTTTTGCCAACAGAAGCCACGAAAGCTTTTTCTGTTAAGATTGGTGCTTTGAAAAGATAACGCTAATAATTTTGAATGGAGTAAAGAGGAATAAATGCAAGAGTTTGCTGTAATTTGAATACAATAATCAAGTAAAAGATGAGTGAAAGCAGGCACATAGGAAATAAAAAAAGAAAATCCCAATTTAAGGTCCAAGTTGTAGATGAAATCAAAAGCACTACACAAATGAGTCAATGTGAAGGGGGAGGAGAAGGAAGAGACAAAGACAACTCAGTTTAGAAGCTGTTAGCTTAAATATGGAATACAGAAGGGGGGTCAGACAGTACAAAGGGCCACAGGGGAAGCCAGTGGACCCAGTGAGCATGAGGGACGTAGGACAGTCACCTGCAAATATCTAGCAGGCAGCGGTGAACATGGGTTGGAAGTTTATCAGAAACGAAGGTTAGAGATGTAATTTGAAAATTTTCCAAAGATGAGCTGATCAGGAGATAGCTGGAAGTAGGTAGAGGGCAAGAAGAAAAGAAGATCAAGTGTAAAACCTTATGGAATATCTTTCTTTAAAGGATGGGGAAAAGGAGGCAAGCAAGAGAAAGTGGTAGAGAGCTATCAGAGAACAAGAGGACAGAGAGTGTTATCAAGTCAAGTGTGCTGACAACTACAAGGACAAGGTAATCACAGCGTCAAATGCTCCCAAACCCACTGCTAACACTCACTGGGTGCTTGTCCTGGGCCAAGCACTAGACTAGGTACAGTCCCTTCCACCAGTTAACAACTGTAAGAGGTGGGTTCAGAGGGGTGAGGGCTAAAAGCACACCCAAAGATGTGGCCAATGGTAATCGTCAACGACCTTTCTGGGATTAGTTTCAGTGAATGGCAGAGGCAGAGAGACAACTACACGGGTGGGATTACAGAACAGAACCAAATTAGAAACATTTAGAAAAAAAAAAGTTGGCAGTTATTACTCTTTGGATAAAGAAAATACGCATAAGGTATATCTTTAAGTGAGACAGGAAAGCTCTTTAATACTTTCTGAAAACTGAAGAAAAGGAGTCAGCTAAAAAAAGAGAGTCATGCTACAAAAGGAGATCTGTGGACAAGCAGAACTATTATATTTTATAGGTAACAAGGTGACAGCTCGTAATTGAGGTAGCACCATGAGTTACAAACTTGCAGTCACAGAGAGACGTTCTTACACTGAACCTTCTCTGCACTAATGCTGGTACAGAGCCAAAGCTGCTCCCCCACTGACTCAGGGGTGCTTCCATTCTCAGAGCTGCAAACAATGACCAAGGGTGGCAGACAGCTTCCTTCTAGATCATGTCGTTCAGACAATACAGTCTTGGTGATGAGTTCTGAACACAGCAAGGGTTAGTAACAAAACTCAAAAAGAACAATCATGGAAATCTGTTAAATCTTCAGAAACGAAAAAAATCCTTCCCCAGGAAATCAATACTTAGCCACATAAAGGTTGCTTCAAAAGCTTCTAGAAAGATAAAAATCAGACCTCAGCTAGGATTGGCCACCCACTATAAGACAAACGTCATTCCTTTTCTCCCTCTTCTAGAGGATTTGATCATTTTAAACTAAAGTTATATTAGCCAAAAGAATGAATTTCTGATTATTAAAAAAAATGAAGCTTCAGTTCTTTTTACACAGAGTTAATTGAAAAACTGGTTAACATGTTTCTTGGGTAACAGCTCTCACAAATAAAGCATTTCGTGGGTACGTCATTAATTGTATATGTGTAAATAAATATCTGGATTCTAGTCGATACTTCGCCAATGACTCAGTCTGCATCTGGCCCTCAGCTCTCTGTGTATCAGTTTTCTCATAAACAAATGATATTTTTAACATCCTTCACAGGTCTTAGTAATTAAAATTATGTCTGAGTTTCGTTAGTAAAATTAGGTGAAATTAGAATTTTTTTTAAAGTGGTCTCAATTATCTTGTAACATATTATTTAAGAGTTTCAACTTACTACAATTTCAGATTTATAAACTATGAATAAGGTTTTTACAAAATTCTCAAACTGTAGGAAGAAAAATGACTACATGTCACAGGTTATTTGGGGAGACAAAAAGAAACAAGCCCCCCAAACTGAGTTCCTCTGCAGAATTTATGATTGACATCTCTATCCAAAACTTTATCTCCCGTCTTGTCCCCCTCAGCACTGAGCAGTATCAAAGGAAAGGCAGGACTGAGACCAAGCAAGATTCTGCAGGGCTCTCCCAGGTACAAGCCCCTCCAGGTCCTCTGCTTCTTGCCTGGTCCTCCAGAGTTCTAAAAAGTGAACTCAAGCAGCTAACAATTAGCACAAGGAATCACAGGAAGGGATATATAGATAACAATCTGCAGGGATCTCTGAGTTGTTTGGTAGAAACTAAGACCCTCTACCCAATGGAGCACAGTGACTACACACTGACCACAAGCACAGAGACCCCAGACCGGCTGATGATTAAGATTCCCGAAACATCACCATGCTACCAACCAGTCAGAAAAATGTCCCAAGAGCTGATCTCATGCACCCTGAAACCCTCACCTCTAATGCTGCCTTTAAAAACCCTAGCCGAACAGCATCAGGGATTGGGGTCTTTCAAGCATTTGCTACCTATTCTTCTTGCCTGGCGCCCTCCAATAAACACTGTACTTTCTTTCATCACAACCCAGTGTCATTAAATTGGCTTTGCTGGGCGTCATACAACTGGATCCAAGTTCAGTTCAGTAATAGGTTGACTATGTAAATTGAATTGTCTACTGTTTTCCCTATTCTGGTTTAAAAAAGAAAACCTTAAAACACACACAGAGACACACCAAAAACTTCAATGAGCTTTCAGTAATGTTCTAGTAATAAGTAGTCTGCTTAATCACTATAGTCATTTTTTTCACATTTTAATATCTCTGAAATCAGAATGCTTATACTATCAATGTGATAAGCATTATGTCATATTCTGATTGGTGTTATGTCTTTTTCCTTCTCAGATGTACATAAAATGATGGTGTATCTTATGATAACAAATTAGCTTCAATAAAATATGGTAATTCATTGGGGTCTGACAGAAAACAAAATTCTGTAAAGCAGTTATCCTTTAATTAAAAAATAAATTTTAAAAAATGGTCAATAAATGAAAAAAAAAAAAGGTCAGAACATAGGCCTTAAGACATTGCAAGAAAATTTTACATAAGAATAAAACAGCAGAATAAACAACCTACAACCTACCATCACAAGAAATGCAAATTACATACTATTTCAAATTTTCTTATGTACACAAAACATATGCTATTTTCCAGCAGGTAAGATTTAGTTTCACAAGTTCTACTTGTGCTCATTTCTTTCCTCCAAATTTATGTCCAACAACCATTAAACAAAACTGGAAAACAAGTTACAGATAGGAAGGAACTGCAGTATATTTAACAAAGGATTTGTTTCTATAATATATTAAAATACAGTATTCACTAAAATTTTTAAAAATTCAATCAATGGGAAAGAGATGAAAAAAGGGATTTTGGAAAGAAAAGCCAAAAAATATGAAAAGATGATCTACATCAATACTCATCAGGGAAATGCAAGTAACAACAAACATACCACTTTTCATCCCTCAGACTGTCATAAACTAAAACAATTCAGTGTTGTGAAAAATCTGGAGGAAGGGTGACTCTCGTATAGTACTGGTTGGAAGGCAATTTGCCATTTCTTATAACAATTTTAAATGTATAATCTTTAACCATTACCTCATCTTAGAAAAATTTGTGTACCAAAAAGACCCATTTAAGGATATCCCTTACAGTTCACTGTAAAGAAAAATCAAACAACTTGAATATCCATCAAAATGGAAATACCTAAGTACAATATAATGAATTTATCCTAAAGGATACCAAGCAGCAATTAAAAACAGGTAGATATAAATGGATTAAAATGGTAACATTTGGGCAGAAGGTGGGAGGGAGGGGACACATGTACACCTATGATTAATTCATTATGATGTATGACAGAAATCAAACCAATATTGTAAACCAATCAATTAAAAATAAATATTTCAAAAAATGGAAACATCTCCAAGATACTATTAGGATACAAAGAGTATAGAATAGTGTGTATGGTGCAGAGTATTGGAAAAAGCAACACAAGATTTTAGTGTATTTATATACGTGTGAAAATGCATTAAAAATAAAACCGTAAGATATACTACAAAAATTAATGATATAATTTTTTATGAAAAGAAAAAGATTTGTTTTGTACTCTAAGTTTTATGCTACTTAAATATTTCATATCGTCACATCTTACAGTATTAAAAATAAAAACATTATCTCAAAGTGAATTCACTGTTTCAAACTCACCGTCCATGCAGGTTAGGAGCTGGGCTACAATTCTTCGCTCCATATCTTTTGAAGCAATTTCTCTTTTGGGGGTAATAGCATCAATTTCATCAATAAAGAGGATACATGGTGCATTTGACTAGAAATAAGAATATCACACAAAAAAAATCATAAATGTAAATGTATAGATAGCATATTAAAAAGCAGAGACGTTACTTTGCCAACAAAGGTCCATCTAGTCAAGGCTATGGTTTTTCCAGTGGCCATGTATGGATGTGAGAGTTGGACTGTGATGAAAGCTGAGTGCCGAAGAATTGATGCATTTAACTGTGGTGTTGGAGAAGACTCTTTAGAGTCCCTTGGACTGCAAAGAGATCTAACCAGTCCATCCTGAAGATCAGTCCTGGGTGTTCATTGGAAGGACTGATGCTGAAGCTGAAACTCCAATACTTTGGCCACCTCATGCGAAGAGTTGACTCTTTGGAAAAGACCCTGATGCTGGGAGGGATTGGGGGCAGGAGGAGAAGGGGACAAAAGAGGATGAGATGGTTGGATAGCATCCCCGACTCAATGGACATGAGTTTGAGTAAACTCCAGGAGTTGGTGATGGACAGGGAGGCCTGGCGTGCTGCAGTTCATGGGGTCACAAAGAGTAGGACACGACTGAGCGACTGAACCGAACTGACTGACTGATTCCCTATACTGGTGTGGTTAAGTATATATGTTTTTTTCAATCTTAAATTTCAGAGACCATTCACCAAAAGAACTACCCTAAAGAAAGCAGTTTACATGTATCTTATTGTACTGACTTTCACCAGGAAATGGGGAGACTGGAAAAGAGGGGTGCTAGACCACATGTTTATTAAGTACTGGCTGTTACACATCATACCAGCATAGCACTGGTTCAGAGAGAGCTAGATAAACACAAAACTAATGGCTAATTTTGCCCTTTGTCTCTTTTATCCTCATTCATCATTTGTCTTCACCATAAACACATATGTAGTTACCTGTCTTTCTGCTGTATGCCAATTAACAAAGAAATCAAGCTCATTTTGGATTTTGGAAAACAGGTAATACCTTAAAGAATGTAGCTTTGCTCTGCATAGTACCCTTTCCACCCTCCACTGCATCTTCCATATGTGTCCACAGCTTTTATAACGCCAGTCTATGTTTAGCTCACAGGAAACATCCTGACCAGACCCACCTGTGAATGACCACAGGAAGGAAGAAATGGAACACATTCCCTCTGGAGTCTGACTGGAACCAGGACTTTACCCCCCCTCCTTTTTGAAATAAAAGAAACCTATATTCTAACCCAGGGAGGATGGTTTAGGGTACACTAGTCTATCTTCTCGGTCTGCTGCCTTTCCAAATAAAGTCACTATTCCTTGCCCCAACTACTTGTTAACAATTTATTGACCTGCCACAGCAAGCAATACAGAGCTTGGACTAGGTAACAAATTTTGCTACTTTCTTACTATTTAAAAAAACATTTTCAAGTACTGGTAAAATATACTCTGTCTTCTCGGCTTTGCATTTCAGATGCACTGGCCATGTTCACCAGTCCCAATGTATTTGGGATACATATGATGACAACGTAAAATTAAACTTATCAGTATTTTTTACTTCTTAACCACAGTGATAACTAGTGATTACTCAAATGAGCATGGTGTCATAGCCAGTATTTACACGGCTTTTGCTGTGTGTTAGACACTACATTAAAAATTTACATGAACCCTTTAATACAATCAACAACCCCATGAGATTTGATCAGTATTATTTGCTAGGAAGGAAACTCAGGGTTAGAGTGGTTAAATCTCTTGCCCAAGATTACACAATTAGTATGTGGTGGCCTAAGGATTTGAACCTCTGTTTCTAACTTGAAAGTACATTTAACCATAACACTTTACTGAAGATAAAACTTCAACAGAATACAAATGTCATCTTCCTCAGAAGTTCTTAAGCAGCCAAATTTTAATGAGTTATAATCAGAATAAAACCCAATCTGTAATTTTTCTGATAATAGAATCATCTTTTCACAGCTTCAGTTTTGCAAATAGAGAAGAGTTTATGCTGGCAATTCTATGGTTGCTTTTATAAATAATCCTTAAATGTTAAAAATGTTCACACTGCTTACAGGTTGTCTGGGCAAACCTAAGTTGAGGAAAGTGAAAGTAAAAAAAAAAAAAATCACAAAGATAATCTATTCTCAGCATATTGCTATTGGGTATGACAGTCAAAACTTCTCACCAATTATGGTATTTTCAGATTAAACAGATTATTTTACCCAACAATCTATCAATTAATCTACTTTAAATATTTAGTCATCATGAGGAACAAATTACCATGTTTAGAAAGGAATGGCCAGTGAATATGTTAACAAATACCAACCTTAAAGAGAACAAGAACTTCCATATAGCCTTATATGATCTGACAACCTGACATTAAGAGTCATTAGCTGACTCACCACAGCTTGTTCAAATAGTTCTCTTAGCTTCTGTTCGGATTCTCCAGACACTCCGGATACAATCTCCGTAGCAGCTACTTTCAGAATTGGAAGATCAAGTTCCTAGGTACAAATATATCATAAAATGACTAAATTGTCAAAGTTTCACTTACCTACTTTTTCTTTCCTTAGTCCCTCTCTCAAAATTACATTTTTTAAATGACCAATTTTCTGAGGAACGTCATATCTTTTTGTACTGTTCCAATGAAAAACATTACTTAAAAATCTGAAATTTTATCCAAACACATTGACTGAATACCTTCTACTTATTTTTACTTTACAGATATCATAAAACTGTTATTATCTCTTCTGAATAAAGGGTCTTGAATCTTAAGAAATCTATTTGCCCTTACTTAGAGCTGAGCCAACACAAAATCATGTTATTTATCTGCTGGGTATGAAACAGCAGGGATTGTGACACAGCCACTTCCCACACACCCACTGGCGCGTCTCCCATGGAAGAAACCCAGAGAAACAGCCAGTGACAAGTCAGAGGCAGACTCTTAAAGGAAGAGAAACTACCACTGTCCCACCAATAAAACTGGCAACCCTACTATTCTTCTGACTATCTTGAAATGTCACTTCTTCAACGATATTCTCTTTAACCCTCATTCTTAACATGGGTAAAATCAACAAACCAGCAACACACCACATAGCATTCTGCGCTTCTTCCGCCTCCCACTCAGTGTAAGCATAACCACGAAGCAACATGTATTTGTGTGAAAGACAGTTTAATGTATCTCACATATTATCGAAAAATCCCTTAGATAAAAACTGAGTTTCTTGTATGTATCACTATATCTCAATGTATGGCATGCACTAGTCACAAAAAAGATTTAACAAATGAATAAATGAGGCGAATCAATCAATTTCTCCTATAAAAACAACTTTCTTTCAAAGCACACTATCTATTAATGACTGACATAGTGTGCTGCTCTTCAAACTAAACTTACTTGGACATTTTGCATTTTACAGTTTCCCAGAAACCTGATGGGGCTAAAATTAAAATTGCTTACTTTTTATTTTGCCAACTGAGTATCTATTGCTAATCACCATTTTATTTTTCTAGTTCTACCACTTTATTGCTACCAACCCATCTCCCTCCACCCTCGTGCACACATGCTCAGTCATGTAATCCCATGGACTTCAGCCCGCCAGGCTCCTCTGTCCATGGACTTTTCCAGGCAAGAATACTGGAATGGGTTGCCATTTCCTTCTCCAGGTATTATCACCATTTTAGAAAGGACATTTTTACACAAGAAAGGATAAAAACATGACTCTGGATGGAAATTCTGAATAAATCTGGTTCTATGTAAAATATGATCCTCCAGTTTTATTTTATTGCTCTTGAAAAACCACTCTTAAAGGGAAAGAACAGTGACTAAAAACAAGAACTAAAACAATGGTAAGAACTAGAACTAAAACAAGAACTACGGTTAAAAAAATGGGCTCTTTATATTATTTGGCTTCCCACCCAATTCATGCCATGTAATTGGATACATTAAAAAAAAAAAAAAATAGCATCTCACAAACAGAAGCATGAAAAGAAGGAAGAAGGGATCAGTCCTCCTGAGAATACGCCAAGTCTACTTCAAGTTGACCAATGAGAAAAAATAAAAACAAATAACAACCAAAGAACAAAAGCAAACAAACGTCAGTAAACCTCACCCCAGCAATCGCATGAGCAAGTAATGTCTTCCCACAGCCTGGTGGTCCATGAAGAAGAACTCCACGTGGGGGTATGACGCCCAGGTGGTGGTACACCTCTGGGTGACGCATGTGTATAAGCATCTTGCAGACCTCCTGTAGGAATAAACAGGAATGATGTTCTTCACAGCCCCAAAGAGGATGAATCAATGTGGAATGAAAGGACCTGTTCTTTGGAGCAGCAACATGCAGTAGACAGGCTTTAGACTTACAGCTGAGTTTGAATCCTGTTTTGGTAACTGTCACGAGGCATTAGCAATAACCCCTCTCTAAGCTTCCATTTCCAAAGGGTAATAATACCTACTTTGCAGAAAGAATGGATAGTAACTAGCATAGTAACTGAAACAGAGTAAACACAAAAAAACACCAACCATTACAACTGTTAAAGTGCTACTCCTGATAAAGCAAGTATCTTATGCACACTGTAACTGAAACGGTGAGAAAACTGAAGATACGTTTCTTGCATCCCTCGTGACCCTGAAGGGGACAAGTCAGGCTTGCCCTTCTCACCTTCCTGGCTTCCTTTTCTATACTCAGTTCCTATCAGATACAAAGAGGAAGGCTTCATTTGAATACCTGATTGGCAATACACCCATCTGAGGTAGAAATTCTGAATCTGAACTAACTTTTAATGTTGTATCATTGCCGCCAACGTCTTCAAACTTCACACTGGAGATCTGTAATTCTAGCCCCTTGGCTTTAGCTGATAAACAAAAAAGGAGGAGGTGAAAAGATTAGTGATTCAGTAGTGACTCAGAACTATACTGAATAATCTTTACATAAACAAAGGTCCATTAGATACTGAAATATTTTCTAGTAAATGTCTCTACACATAGGAGGTTTCCCAGGCCAAGGAGCCTGGAATCACGATGTCTCGCTCAGAGTGAATACAGCCATCACCACCCACAAGACTTCCATCTCACCTTTCTTCTGCAGGATAGCTTCTATTTCCCCATCTACTTCCTGGAGATCTTCTCTCTTCTTTTTGCCTCCTTTGCTGTTTAGCTTGCCTTTCCTTTTTTTGTTACTCTCCAGAAGAGAAGAATCTTTTGAATTCTGGAAAAAAAAATTAAATGTGTCATGCCTGAAATTAGGCCATTTAAAAAAAGGCGGGGGGGGGGGGGGGGGGNGGGGGGGGGGGGGGGGGGAGGATTACTAAAAAAATAAATAAATAAAAATACATTCCAGCCCTGGTACTTTCACCCGTTAGCTATTCCCAACATTTTAGCTTAAGGGTGACCTCTGCTGGGGATGTCCCTTTCCACAACATTAATGCTCAGTTTACTTCCTAACACCTGAAAAACCTCCTTTCCAGATTCTTCTAGTTAGAATTAACCTCTTCTTCACACTCTCATAACACTGAATTTGCAACTGTGGTAGAGCCTATACAATCTGCTTATAAATGAGTGGCTCACCTGTCTACGTTATTTCTTCCTCACTGAGTTGTGTGCTTCTGGAGTTAAGATAATAGCACTCATCTTTTATTTCTCACTGGGCCTTTTACGTAGTTGGTATTCATCTGATGTTTGATCAATCACTAAATTAAATATGACTAGAAAGCTACTCTGACAGCCACATAATTCAACATGAAAGTCAAGCTTTGTTCTTGACCGTGCCAACAATAATAATCTTTAAAGACAAAGTAAATAGATTTGGAAAATCGATTTACTATTAATAATTCAAAAGCAGAGGGGAGAGGCTTGCCAAATCAAACAGCTTGGTGCTTGAAAACCACTTAGAATGGCATCACCCGAGAGAAACATAATACCACCCACATGTGGGAGTTTAAATATTCTAGCTGTCATTGTTTAGTTGCTAAGACTCTTTTGTGACCCCATGGGCTGTAGCCCACCAGGCTCCTCTGTCCATGGGATTTGCTGGGCAAGAATACTGGAGTGGGTTGTCATTTCCTACTCCAGGGGACCTTCCCGACCAAGGGATTGAACCCGCGTCTCCTGCATTGGAAGACATATTCTTAACCACTGCACCAACAGGGAAGCCCAAATATTCTAGTAGCCACATTTAAAAACAGGAAAAAAAAAGAAGTGAAAGTATTTTGTAAGAAAATAATAATCTATTTTATTTAACCAAATATATTCAAAACAGTATCAACATATAGTCAGTTTAAGAAT